TTTTTTTTTTTTTTTTAAATAAGCAAAATAAGCATTATGGAAACTTTGAGACTTCAAAAAATGTGACAGGGAGCTAGAAAGAAAATCTTCACCTTTTTATGTAAAAGTTATAAATAAAATATATTTTGTCATCGCAGTTCTCTAGCACTTTGATTTTCCAATAGTTTCTTTAGAAGTACGTGCTGATAAGTCATATTCTGTTTCCAAAGCCTGATTAAGATCCCATCACATCAACACTTTTTGATTATCCTCCCTTTTGCATAGATAACACTAATTACACCACAAATACTCAGATAAAAATTTCCCTGTTTCTGTAATGATGCTTAAAACCCAAACCCCATATTTCTGACAAAAAATGCGATCTTGAACAAACTGCTACATTCCGTAAGTTGGTAGTAGTAGCCAGATTTGAGTAGTGAAATACATTATCTAACGTGAACATGCACTAAATGGAGTACTTAGAGAAAACTTACTTTTTCAGGAAAAACTGCGTTAGTGCAGTAGTATATTGTTTATCTATATTGGTTATTACTTTCATTCTTAACATCAAATACGGAATAAATTGATTTTCTCAGGAACAGAACCGACATGCAAGAGAAGAATCACTTGCTGATGATCTCTTTAGGTAAGAGTGTTATGTTTGTACTTAGAAAATGTGGGGCTTTTGGGGGTTTTTTTGGGTTTTTTTTGTTTTGTTTGGTTTTTGTTTTGCTTGGTTTTTGTTTTGCATGCCTTAAATTATAGGGCAAATTCCAATTTTGTAAAGGACTACTTTGACTATTCTTTTCAAAATTCTATGGGTTCCGATGTATGGAATATACAAAATGATTCAACTTCTCCCGATTTTTTTTTTTTTTTTTTTTTATGCCTTAAACTTTCAATTTCATTCAGACTTGCTACAATTTTTTAAGAAGAACATTCTGAAACAAAAGCATTGGTATTTCCTGGCTCATATGCACAAGCTTGATTGTTCGCAAAGGCTGGAAGAGATTCCAGGGTCAGACTTTCTGCCATTAGTGTTTGCTAGAGCCTAATGAAGTCTTTTGGCCTTACGATTAGGTCAGTCATGTGAACTCTGAAGAAAAAGTGATGGGGTCTGCCTCTTTTTCATTCTGGCCATGGCACTTGCCTGTCCTTGTGCTGAATCACGTGAGGGAGCTAAAGCAACAGAATACTGCTTGTGTGAACAAGTGATGGGCAGGACTTTTCTCTTTTATTTTTATCTTTGAAGTAACGATTCACAGAATTTAAAACAAAAATGAAGAAAAAAACCCCTCAACTCCTAGGTAAATCCTTCAGTATGGCCCCTCTGTGTCCCTTATCTTTGAGACCTTCAGCTGCTTTCAAACCCATTCACAATGAAAGAGCTTCTACCTTTTGTTTTTTTTATTATTGTTAGAAACTCATTCAGTGCCTTAACATCTTCCCAGTTTTCAGACTGAGGGGAGGAGGCATTTTTACACCAATCATTCTATGCTCTTGACAGTGCAGTAGAGTCATTAATTCTGTCTTAACCAGTGCTTATGTCACAGGAGTTTGAGAGATTTCTTTGGGAAGTCCAGGTTCACTTTGATGCTTGCATTGCTTCTTGCCATAACTCATTACACTTGCCTCCAAAAGACAGTCTGTTTCAGCAGTTTTCTTTCAATAACCCTCAGTTCAATTGTCTACTGCTTTCCCTGATCTCTCTTTTGAAAGAATGAATCATCCTATTCAGTTGATTTCCTGTCCGGTTACTTTGACTGTAATCCTAATTTAATGATTTATGACCACTTTCTAATTAAAAAAGTTCTAAGACAAGTTCTGCATCTGCAATACAGCCTTTAAATATATCACAGTTATGAAGACAGTTATAAAAATATGGTGCAGCTTGATTGCTGTGTTCAAAATATCTGGTCCAAATATCTTAATTAATTTTAGCCTACCAAAACACAGCAGTGGAAAATTAGATAATTTGCATGCATTCATGCTTAAAAATGTTTTTACCTCAACTCCAATTAATTTAGTATAGTTGTACTTAAAGAAGTTTCCACGATCAAAAATATTGAACCACACAATTTGATGTTCAGCAGTTTGTAACCTTCTTCTAATTTTGTCCTTAATTCTGAGTCAAACTACATGGCATAATGCTAATATTTAACACCTACAATTTCCCATGACAGTTGCATTTGAGGATGATGTGAGAGTCATGCAGTATTCCAAGTAAAGATGAGCTAGAAAGAAAAGCGGTGCCCTCAACTGCTGCTCTGAGTACAGAGAGAGGAGGAAGGAAAAGTATATCATGCTGTCTACTAAGACTACAGATAAATGTATTACATTCAGTAATAGCCCTTTGTATTCTTCACCCCCTGTTCTCAGCAAGGCCTTCTGTTTCTTTGTGCATTCACTCACATAGTGGAATCTCTGGAGTCCTTTTTCCATTTCAGGCCATAGGCAATGTACAGTTTCCTTTCTCTGGTAATGTTGTTTGTTTTCTTTCTGGAAAACATTATCCAGGCTTCATTTGATTTGGAAAATGGCTGGAGGTGAGGTGGGGACATTACATTAAAAGGTGCTCGTAACTGTCAAGTGTCAGCATCTCCATAAACCATCACAGACAGGGTTGAAGCTGTTGGTATCCTGATGGCAGGTTTCCAACATGCATCATCCCCTTCTCCAGTCTGCTTATCTTTCCCCCTTCTCCTTCCCTGCCCCCTGCCTCCCAAAATAGGATTTGCTGCCCAAGACTTATTTAAATGTTCAAACTAATGTGTTACAATGCTATAGCAATTAATTCAAAGAATGCTTTAAGATTTAATGTGAGGATCTCATTTCGTTTAGCAAAGATTTTATTATTTTCTTAGTTTTTATGTGAAGAAGCAGTCAGTCGATCACTGTTTGACTTCTTACCTGCCATGTGTTTGATTAACACTAAAAATTGAGCATTTAGGTAGAAAGATGTGTATGACAAAAGTGGGTTTTGTCAGAATCACTATCAAAGAAAAATGATACTGCATATCAACATGTAAAGCCATTTAGAAAACCTTACTGCTCTGTCAGTTAACAGTTAATAATAGAGCATTTCTTTCAGAGGGCGCACATTTAATTTTTGCCAGAAATCTGAATTATATAACAACAGCAGTGACTTCTAATACCTTTCTAATTATGTGGTGATGTAATTTGGCTCACAAGTTGTCACATTTTCCTGTGTAAGCAAAAAGAAGTCTTGATGAATGAAAGCAGAATTAGTGGAAGTAAAACTTCCTGATCGTTCAGTTGTGTCCATAAGTTATTCATGCGTGAATACAAAACACATCAGAATTTCAAAGAAGTGACACAGGATTTGGGGAGAAGCACAAATGGAGAGAAAGAGAAAGCCAAGGGATAGCTGTGTCAAGCAGAAGCAAACTATAAGCATATTGCAGTAAATCAGGTAACCATTTAATATATCCAGAAAGTAGATCTAAATTACTAACAGTTGGTAAGATGCTGTATAAAGAGGAAGGTAAGGCAAGGAACAGCTTTATGGGAGAGTAGGAAGCCTCAAAAGGGGTTTTGTCTGAATGAGTTGTGGCCAAATGTTGTACATTGCTGTGAGTATACAGTACTCCTCCAACCCCCCCTTTATTTATTTATTTTTTTTAAGTAAGAAAATTAACGGGGGGACATTAAGAGCTTGGAGAAACTTACTCATGCATCAGATTGAAGGATTTTAAGTAGCTAGGAAGCCAGTGAAAATTTTAGTAAAGCTTACCTCTAGTTCATGCACAGGTTACACATCCTTCAATCAAATTGTAGCAACAGTTGTTGATTCTAGAAGTGTAGTCAGGGAAAGGCCTGAACAGTGACCAGTCCCTTGTTCTGAATATATAATAAAGCTATTTACATCCCATTGTTAACTTTGAATATTATTAAGTTTTACTGCTTTGTGACATACTTTCTTTTTTCTTGTAGGTATGATCCAAATGTGAAAAGAAGAAGATAAATTTTGACCTGAATTTACAGCGATTCTCTAGCAAAATCAGCTTTCTGCTCCATAAGTTTGCTGGTTACACAGTGTAATATATACCTATGTGTGACCATTTGAACTATCTGCTACTCCAAGACTTGTTATTAAGTCTTCCTTTTATTAAAGAAAAATAAAAGTTTCTTTCACTGCTTGCTATTTATGGATTGCCCATTTTCAAGACCTTAACATCATTTGCTCTCGAGAAGGGAGGGCATTGTGGGGATTTCCACAGTAGTACTGGGGACAAAAAAGTTAGTATTGGCATTTGGCTGAACATACACCCAGTGTATGTTCCTAGTTTGGGTCCACGTTTAGGGTGTGCAATAGGTGATAATTTGGCTTCTAATTCAGTTACATCTGCTGTCTGGTTGATGAGAGGCCTGTAGGTGAGTGAACCTGAGCCTTTTGCTATTTCAAGATGAAGTATCTGAGGTAGGTGATAAAGGACGTGATTACATGATCCAAGTCCTTGGAGTCCAAACATCCAATTAATTACATCAGTATTTGCCTTACTCCTGGAACTACATTACATTAACTTGTCCTGATGTTTCCTTTATTTTATAAAACATACTTTGGGGGCTCACCGCTGTAGGCACCTAAGCCCCATGCAGCCAATTGCTCTACCCAGCAGGATGGGGGAAGAGAATCAGTAGGGTAAAAGCAGGAAAACTCATGGGTTGAGATAAAGACCATTTTTATAGGTGAAGCAAAAGCTGCAAGCACAAGCAAGGGCAATTAACTGCGTTGTGCAGTTCAGAACTTTTGCTGCATGCTCCATTTTCATTCTGTGTAGCTTGTACCCTGTGGTTTCAACATTCAGTTCACCAGTTTTCTGAGAGAACTTGTGGGGTGATTTTCTTTAGAAGGTTAAAAAAAATTCAGTGACTCTTGATACAACATCTGAGGTTTCTGTCATCTGCCTCAGACCACAGACTTGCAAGCATACCCACCTTTCTGACAAAATTATGTTCTTCACCTAAAAATACATCTAAGCAGAAGCTTATCTTCAGATCTTGCTTCTTGCATTTTTCTGCGTAACACAAAGTTTGTGGTTTTGTTGGGATTGCTTTTATAGCAGGTTATCTTTGTTCACATGGCTCACAGGAAGGAGATTCACACAATACATAAACTAAATGTACTTTTTATTAGCAAGGCTTCTAAAATACAGTCTTGCATTCACCAGCTTAGCTGAACATTTTAAAGCAGATTAAATTACTCCATGCACCACTAAATAGAAAATGAGTGCTGCAGGAACAACATGCTTAATATTCAGTTTAAACTCATACCAGTTTCAGTTGACTTCCCATTTTTCCTACTTCAGTTAGGAAAGCTACTGCCTTTTTGGGCAAGGCTACCAAGATATTCTCATACTTGAAGTTTGTTTCTGTCCATTCACACCTGTGAGTCTCCCCCTTTTTCTCCTACCCTTAGTCCCTATCTTCTCCCAGAACAGGGAGCTGATGCAGAAGGGCTGGCCTCTCTTTTGTCATTGCATCAGGTCCCGTATGCTGAAAGAATGTTTGCAGTCAGCTCCAGTTTCCTGCATTGACTTCCTCCAGAGTGCTAAGCCCCCTTCGTTACCTCCACTCCTGATGAGGCTCTGTTCCATGCATTTACCCACTGAACATCAGTTCCTGAGACAGTAGCTGAAGTCTCTCCCATCTCTCCTATTCCCAGTTCATTTTGTACAGGTGATTTCTCAATCCTTATTTTCCTGTCTTCTCTCTCCTCTCCCCCATAAAACTAGCCCTTCTCTGCTCTGTTCCATTTCTTGAATCTATCTTCAGTCACATCTGGCCACATCTGGTGTTTGATTCATGAATTCCAATTGTGTTGTGGTATCTCCTTAGAACTTAAGCCAGACCTGCCAAAACCTGAACTGTCCTCCTTGCCATTGCTCTTCACTCTTCCTCTTACAGTGTTTTGATAACTAACTAACTAACTGCCACATTCCAGCAAGTTAGTTAGACAAAATCAGATCCCCCTCTTCCCCTGCCACTTGCTTTAGCACTCAGCTCATAACTCTCTGCTCCAGCTTTAACTATCAGAATCTCTCCTGAGCACTGGTTGTAGCAACAGATCCATGCAAACCAACGCCTCTTCCCTCTTTCTGAACAGAGGCTCTCTGGATGCCTCTTCCACCCCTGCTTGTTTTTAACTTTGACTTAAGGGTCAAACCAAAATAACTGTCTTCTAGGTGAAACACTTTTAATCACAGAATTGTTAGGGTTGGAAGGGACCTCTGGAGATCACCTAGTTAATATTTAGGTTTCAGTTGTTACCAGTTTTCAAGCTTAGCATGCAAACCTTAGGTAGGTTTATCATCTAACCAGAGCTGAGGTTTTGCTCACAAGTTGCTTGCAGCTCAGAAGGAGAATAATTTCAGCCTATATCAGCTGTTCTGTACATGTTTACATCGATCATCTAAAAATAAAAGTCTGTGACCCAAGCGTACACTAGCAAAAGCAGAAAATGCACATGACACAAGGAAATGACATTTACATAGTAGCTCCAAGTCTGAGTGTATTGTGTGTGAACAAGCATACAGGTAGATGAATATAATCCTTTATCTCATTTAGAACTTGAATGCCACAGCTAGCATACCAGGCTTAACAGACAAAAGGACAAGATCAGAGTATTGACTTCCCCAATTGTGTCAGGCAGATGTAAGGTGGCAGTATCAATTCTTGATCAGCAGTAACTCAGCATTCATGTAGAAACTGGTCCTAGAATCTACTCTGATGAAAAATGAACCATTTGCCTCCCCAGGGTACCCCTGGGAACCGTATCTTATCTCTTGGATTGCCTTGACTCTAGCTTTATATTTGTGGACAACTATTTTTTCCTTATACACCAGGTTAAAAAAGAACCTAAAAATGCCAGGATTCTGTAATATTTTGTAAATACACAACTCTAGTTGTTCATTTGCTTTATGCTGGCATTTAAGTCTACAGAGGGTGTCCAGGAACATGAAGCTGAATTTTAGTTTACTGAATCACCCACTATAGGCAGTGTAGGCTGATACTTAGACACTGCCAGTCATCTCAGTATAAAGGGAGGGAGGAGGAAAGTGCAAATTAGATTAACTTTGTCTCCAGAACATGTAATTTCGAAGGATAGGAGAGCTAAGAATGTGAAGTCTATTTTTTTCCTGGTTTTGATGACCATGAGGTTTTAAGACTTGGCTTTATGTGCCCTCTGAGTACATTATTGTCATTGTTAGAAAATCAGCTACCATGCAGACAGGTGTAATGTGAGCTCAGGGTCAGGATTTGCTTGAGATTAAATGTTCTAGGGTCTGCAAAGACAAAATCATCTTTTAAAACAGTGCTTAGCTTCACTATACTTACTGTATTATACTATAAATGGTCCTCCCCCTCCAATCCTTGTTCCTTATACCAAATTCATCTTTGACCTCACAATTCCTTGTGTAATTCAAGCTTCAAAAATTAGCTAACTGAACAACTGAAGTGTACCGTATCCCCCAAATATGGTCTTTTTCAGAAAAAAAGAGCTGTTTGTAATTCAATACCCTCACTTCAAATTCGTACCTAATGTCACTAAAACCTTCTTTTTCTGTCAGTGAATATTTAAGTTTCCATTGTTTCTGCTAAACAGAATCAGGTACTATGGTTATTTCAGATAAAGTGCAACTATTCTTTCAGGTTGGGCAAGGGGAAAAGGGGGAAGTAAATGTCCAAAAAGTTCTCACAGCAGCTGAGTACTGTGCTCGCATCTTGTTCTCACCTCAAAAAATAATCCAGAATTATGACAGAACATTGTTATTGTAAGGTTTTAAAGTAGTATCTAAATTAAAATGTAACAGAACAAACCTCTGAGCATTTCTTGTCCCATAACTTCTTCAAAAAGAAATCATTACTACCTGGATGATAGCAAAATTGAATAATCAGCTGCCTTTAAGGCATACCTGTGCTACCTCTTGCTGTTTAGAAATGTTTTAAAGGTAGCATTGTTAGAGCACAAATTCCGCTATTAGATGAAAATACCTGCTTGCTTTCCCAGAAGTAGAAAATTTGATTACAGAGCAACCAGACCTCACCTCTTGGCACACCACCTTACTGACCCAGTCCTGCACCTGCTGGAGCAAATACAAGTGCTTCTAGTCCATACACCTGTGTTGCACTTCCATGTAATTTCAGTTAATAGCCAGTTAAAAATATATGGCAACCTGTTAAGAGTAACAGCTCCAACACACAGCTCTAAACGTACAGTGTGCAGATCTTGACACGAGAGCATGGGAGACCACCAGCCCATCAAGACTGCACGGATTCACTTCAGCACCTACAGGTTTGTAGTTCATACTGCTCACATTCTTTACTGCTTTTCTCCCATTGCTCCTCCCTGGTTATTGCTTGTTAGCAGTGAGGGCTCACTGGAATTTTGTAAATTTGACATCCTTTCTTTCAAGAGCG